ATCATACCACTTTGGATATAGAGGTTTCAAAAGCTCTATGGGTTGTTGAACCACCAAGCATTTCTAGAATAACTGAGGGAAAAATTTCATGTACATCATAGGAATTGGATCAAATCGTTGTTGCTCTCGATTATTTTAAGATTCTCTTCGATTAAAGTCTGTGGTATTTGACTGAGGGAAAGGTCATAGTAAAGGTGCTCAGGGACGAACATTGATTTGAAAAGCAGGTGTCTGGGTTTGCGCTGATTGGTAATGGTATGGGTTTTAGGAAAGGTTAGAAATGGTTGAATAAGAAGGTTGGTATACAAGATATGAGTGGTATGGGATAAAAAGTCTCAGTTTTGGTTTTTCAGTGATAACAGCTTGCACTTTTACTTTTTTATTCTTAGATGGTCTTTTTTTTTTATCTAAAAACATCACCTCAATCAATCTTTCAATTTTTAATGGCATTTTCTATTATTTCTCCTATAATCACCATATCAGCAAAATTTTTTGTGGCATGACCAATGAGCCTGTCATAGTATAGTGCTCGAAGGTTATTAATGAATAAAATGGTTATTTCTTTCTCAGTAAGAGGAGGTTAAACCTAAACGACAACATCTCGCCATCTCTAGGCATATTCTTTAAAATTTTCATTAGCTTTCTTTTTCATGTTTTGCAAGGACATTCTATCTGAAGCCATGTTTATGACATGCTTATATTGAGTAATAAATTCTTTGGCCAGATCTATCCATGACTGAATACGACTCCTGTCTAATTGAATATACCATATGGAAGCTGATCCAGTAAGACTATCTTGAAAACAATGGATAAGTAACTTGTCATTGTTTGTATGCCCAGTCATTTTTCAACAAAACATAGTGATATGTGCCTGAAGGCATTTGGTTCTATCATATTTTTCAAATTATGGTACTTTGAACTTTGGTGGGATTACCAAATCTAGGACTAGACTGAGTTCACTAGCATCAATTGTGCCAAAAATATTTACACCTTCAATAGCTCGCAACCTTTCTTCCAAGAAATCTAACTTTTATTGTGCCTTTGTATTGTCAGATTGCTCTGACGTGCCTTTCTTTAGGTTATTTTGTTCTTTTAGGTCATCTAAATCTGGGATCATAATGGTCTCAACATAATTTACCCTAATATTTAAACCAACATGTCCTTGACTACGTGGATGAATCGTGAAGGGAGGTAAGTTAAACTGAGCATGTGGTTACCTTTCAGGCTGTGTCATTTGTGGATGCATTTGATGAGAGGTTGGAGCATCCTGGTGGATACAACGGATCTTCCCTATCATTGGTATTTTCTTGGGCTTGAGGCTCTTTCTCAATAGTTACTTTTTCAGCAACCCTTTTTCCTTTGGTCATTTTCCTCATCATGTCCATCATTGTAGCCATTTCTTTTCGAGTCTTTTTTTGAGTCCTAGTCATTTGTTCTATTAACTCTTGTTAAGACCTAATCATTTGCTCCTGCATATCAAATTGAGCTTTTTCTATCCTTTTTATTCTAGATGCTTGCTCGCCCTCCATGATTCTTACTTGTGAGCAAGTATTGTAACGATGGCGAGTGGTTTGATCTATGTTTTCTTGATGGCCTAATTATCCTTGCACCTGATTTAGTTAAAGGAAACTCTTGAGATTTGTTATTTCAAGATCTCTTTCTTTTAGTTATGATGCTATTTTTTTTTAAATGAAACACACAATTGATGCATGAATGCAAAAGATGTGCTTATTATATATCCAATATTTGCAAAAGATTTTAAGGCTAAACTTGAACCCCCATATCATAACTTCACTAAATACTTCTTTCATTATAATATTAAAATTTTCAAAAGAAATGCCCTACATGCTTATACTGCTTATAAGCATTTTCTAGCAAATTGGTCAAGCGTTGGCTATGCTGTCCTAGGTAAACCTCTTCTTTCACTTGTTTAGCTTCTTAGGCCATGTCTTTTGCTTTGAAGCTAACTTCTCTTATCTATTCTACTAGGCGAGTGGCTTGAAATTCTTTCAACTAATATTTTTCTTTCCAATACTGTGCTCTATGTTCAAATTGATCTTGTTCCTCTCTCAAAACTTGAATGGTTTCACGTCGATAATGCATTTACTATTTCAAGTCATCTACGAGACCTTGTAGTACCTTCTTTTTTTTCACAAATTGACTAAGCTCTTTTTCCTTAGATAATAAATTAGACTAAAACTTTTCTGTATTTTTTCTAGATTTTTCAAACTCTATAGTCATTGTGGCAATGGATTTATGCCAGCTTTTAGAGATCTTTTCTTATTCTCTTTCAAACCTTCGAGATTTTGCTTCACTCTTATCAGTCTTGTCTTTTCACTCATTAATCTCATGCTAAAGCCTCTTCTTTTTAAGCTCTTATATTTTTTTTCTTCCTTAAATTTATGCTTCATAATCCTTATATCCTCAAGAATATTTTCACAATGGGTGTCGTTTTGGTGAAATGGTCTGTTTTCTTTAGGACCAACTTTGCTTATGACCCATTGACTTCTCTATATTAGATATTCAGGTATGGCTTTGTTTGTATATCCTCTACGATCTACTCTCCTAGTCTGTTTCTAATCTTTGATAATCTCTTTTATCTTTCCCAAAAATTTTGATTCCTCAAAAGATAATTCCAATTCTTGAAGCCCATGAGTCATTGGGACAAATTGCTCTGACCCTAATTGTCAACGAACCAATGTTAGAGCATAACTTATACCTCCTCACAGTCCTAAGAGTGGAACCCATGGCTTGTCACCACACCTGTATAACATGGCTTCTTGTGGCATCCATGAAGCTCTCAATATAACTTGAGCACTAGTGAGATTTTGCAAAGTTAATACCCACTCTTCCTTGGTCTTTGATTCTGACCATTCAACATTGTAGCATTCTTCAATTAGCCTACTTTTATTACTATAAGTAGGATGAAATTTACCCACGGGATGTTGAAAATGACTTTTTGCCCAAATGTATAGTAACTGTACACACCCTATGAAGCATCTTTATCTTCTTTGACAGTGATTCAATGATCTAAAGGTCTTTGTCAGTATAGAAGGAACATGATTGATTTTATTGTCCACCTACTCGAGAAAGTCAATCATTGATACCTCAATGTGCCCTAGGACCTTCGAAAAAATGATCAAGCCATAAATTGCCAAAGCTATCATTCTCATGCCTCGTTCATCCTCCAAGTGTTTGATGATGTAATCACGTATGATTTCCCACGAGATGCAATCACTCTTGCCTTTTGTTTGGATATACGAGTTTACATTATGAGTGGGGACCTTCATCATACAGGCAAGTTTCTTTCGAGATCTAAGTTTTTGACCTCGCTAATAAATTTTATCTAGATTTAGGAGATGCAACCATAACAATGTAGTATACTCTTTGATTGTCGGGGTCATATTTATTTCGTTAAATATGAAACATCTGTATGCAGGATCCCAAAACTGAATTAAAGCTCTTATCAATTGATTTTTTGTGGACACCTCAAACAGTGAAGCAATATGACCATATTTTTCCTCGAAAGCCATCTTCCTAGAAGTTGTTACACTACGCCAAATCTTGACCAACTCAGAGATGTCATTTTGTTTAAGTCCCAATTTGACTTCTTTGGGCAAAATTTCTTGTTCAAATTCTTTCAAACAATCTCTCATTCTACTTTGGGCTTCTAATGATAAAGTTATCACCACATTGATCTCTTCACACATGGTGAACTTCGAAGCTGAGAACATCCTAATGGTATTTCTGAAGCAAGACTAAAAATCTTCTTACTAATATTGGCATATTGATAAGCACATCCCATATGAAGTGTTTATAATGATGCATGATCATGAAACAAAAAAAAAAATAAAACAAAATAGGGTTAGTGATTATATTAAAATAAATATTCCTTCATGTGTCCCAATTCAGGGTATAATCTATAAAAATGGATTGGCCCTATCTAAAGTTGGTTTCCTAAGTTTCACTATATGCATGGTTTAGTAGTTAACATAGGCTAAAACACTCTCAAATTGATCCTCACTGTCGTCACTTTAGACTAGTAAGGCCTTCGATCCTCACCCATAACAGGCTACTGACAGAAATGGTTCAACTTGAGTGAAAGTATTTCGTTAGCCCAAGTGGAGGCATTATAACCTCACGAAAGCGTAGGTACTCTACCCCCTCCTAAAAATGAATATTTTTGGGAGCCCGGGTATAGAGCTCGTGCATGAATGCAAATGTGTATATGTGTGAGGGAATGTAATCAATTATTAATAAAATTAACAATATAATTAGCAATAATATAAAATAATAACATATAAAAAATGAAAAGAAAAAAATAATATCCTAAGATGAGATAAGAAATTAAAATTAAAAATAAAAAAGACCATAAAATTAAAAATTCGGATGACACATGTTTAAATTTTTTTGGCTTGACTCTCAAGTGTTCCTGAGTGGAGTCACCAAGCTGTCATAACGATCTTTTTTGTCCTGGGGGGAACTTGATCGCTGGACTTGGTGAAAATTTTTGGAGACGCCACCAATCTTTTTTTATAGGGTGTGATTGGCCACCCAAAATATCATATTTTAGTAAAAATCTTAAAATTAATTAAGAATTACTAAAAACAAAAAGTTTAGGTCTGCAAAATCAGGGTTAGGTCTAAGAGTACGGTTACGAGTGAGAAAGGTATTAGCACCCTCACGTTGCCCATTCGAAGAACGATACTAATTAAACATGTGTAATCCTTTAATTTTGATAATATGGTTTTTTTATTTAAAATTAATTTCCTGAAATTTATTTTAAAATATTTTTTTTTGAAAAATTAGTATTATTTTTTATATATATTCTATAAATTCTCCAACGCTTTGGCGAAATTTATAGAGGAAATGTTTGAAAAATATTTCGAGAAAATTGACCATTTACAAAATTCTCAAAATCTCGTCATAAGATATTTTATTTATTTGTTTTTCTTTTTTAAAAAATTAAGAACATCTCGACTCTTTGGTGAATTCCCAAAATTTATTAAACAAATTTTACGATTATCTCGACTCTTCAGTGAAATCCTAAAAAATTTTGAGCAAGTTTTAGAATCATTTCAACTTTTTGATCAGATCCTAAATAAAATCATTTTTAATTAAAGGAATTTATTATGATTATTTAAAAAAAAACTCTTTATTATTTACTAATTATTTTTATGAAAAAAAATTTAGATTATCTCGACTCATCAGAGAAATCGCAATATTTATATTTTTACATATGTCAAAGAAAATTGAACTCTTTCAATTTTCTTAATATATTTTTTAAAAATGTTCAAAATATCAGTTATTATTATTTTTTATTTTTTATTTTATAAGATTTATTTTTTAAAAAAAAATTATCACAAATTTTTGCTATATATTTTATTATATATTTTTTATTAATTATTAATATAAAACAACAAAATTTTATTATGGTAAATTTAATCATTTTAACATGTATAAATATTAAGAATAATAATTAAAATAAAAAATAATCTATAAAAAAATTCAAAAAAAAATTTTTTTTACCTGAACTGGACCGGTCAGAGGCTGATGCAGAAGTGGGTCGCAGGTCGGGTACACGAACTCCGTGTCGGATCGCTGGCTGACGCGCTGATCCTCAGGGCTCAAAACGACGTCATTTTGACCCTTTAATGAAACAGTGTCATTTTCGTTCTGGCACTTTCTATAAAAGTCAAAAAAAAATTTATCATTTCCTTCCCCCTCTGTCGAAAAAAAAATCCCTCTTTTTTTTTTAATTTTAGGCTGATATGGGGCCTGTGGCCATCCGTCGTGACAGCCGCCATGGTCTTTGCCAGTGACGAGCTCTGACCACCGTCATCGATGTTGAAAAATTTCAAAATCTCCCAAAATGCTCCCTTTGATCCCCTGAATGCAGATTCAACCTCCTTTCCACCGAAAAAAAGCCCAAGCAACCTAGATCTGCTTTTGAAGTTTTGGTTAAACTTTATTTTTTTTACTTCCTTTTTTCTTTAAACTTTTTTTTTATGCAGAGGCTCTCGGCACTGGGATCCTCCTCGTAGGGAGGACTGTGTTTTTTTTGTGTTTTTTTTTTTGCATTGTTTTTTTTTTTTTGTTTTTGCAACGTTCCTCCCACCCACTTTCTATTAGGTTCAGCTAGAAGCTCTATTTATAGAGCTCCGATCGTACCCTATGCTTGAGTAAGTGGCACAGGGCTCGGCATGGAGTACGAGCACGAGCTCCGCACCCTTTTAATTTCTTCTTGTCTTATTGGGTAGTAGGGCACACTAATTAGGATAGTTAGGGTAAATTTTGCAGGGTATGGGAGAGGGATAGCGTATGGTGGGTAGGGCATGGTAGCAGTGGTGCCGGGAAAGGCACCATTGCCATCCCCCTTTTTTTTGTTCTTTTTTTTATATTTTGTATTTTTTTGGTATTTTGTATTTTGGTATTTTTGTTTAATTTAAAAATAATAATAATAAAAGGCAAGTTGGGCTTTTAAACAAAATGGGCTTCAGGCCCAATCAAAATCAGATTTTGGGTTAAGTA